ATAAGAACCCCTTTTCAGAATATGGAAAATGACAAAGAAAAAAAAAAGACACCGTAAATAAAAAGTATAATATGCAAATTACAAAATAAGCTACCTGACTTTGAATCAATATACAAAAGAAAAATTGAAAATAATTTTAAGTTCCCACATCTTCCTTACAACTACTACAGTAAAGCATACATTCAAAAGTCAAAAACCCTTAACATTGGAATGGAACTTGTAGGAAAAACCCTTTAACAAATATGACTAATGAAAAAAGCATAAATATCCATAATCATTTTATGTTTAAGAAATAAAATGCAAAATAAACTCTATCATTCATAGTAAAATAATTCAATATGATACCTTAATCCTTCTTGCATAATCGCTTTTTTCGACTTGTGATGTACTTTGTATACACAGTTGTTTTCTAACCACTAGCCTTGATGCTCCCATTTACCCTCGCATAATTTCTCATGGTATAGTTGTGCTATACCACGCAAACTAGCATGTTACGACCCTCCACCAATAGGAGTGCGACGCACCCAGTAGTGCAGCCGACTCTCTCTATACTGTAGAACACTATCATCACTTCTCGATTCGGCATTTCAGTGTGCATTCATGCTCAATTTTTGCTCTTTTACAATACCCTTGTGCACTTTTGGTTAATTTTAATTTTTTTTTGACAACTCCAAATTTGTTATTTTTTTGCTGATTATTTAGTATATGTGGAATATTTTTCTCATTTTCACATATTACTACAAAACCTTCTATTATGGATATGGTCACTACTGATCTACCACTAGCACTTACTTTTTGTGAAGGTTTAAGCCCTGTTGTGTCGCAAGTTGTTTTTAGACTATTTTGCGGTTTGCTATGTCTCCAGAACCCTAACTAGATATCCCGTTTCTAGGGGAATCTGGTCCTGATGAGAAGGATTTGGACAGCCTTTGTTGTACTGTCCCGTGCTACCCCTCTAGGTTTCAATCATCTTCATTTGGATTTGTTAGACATGATTTTCTATGTATGTTTCCTGTTATCTCTCTTCCATCCACTTTCTTTCAGACAAGCAGTTTTAACTATGAACAAAAGTTACAAAATATTAATATTGTGCTCATAGATAAACAAAAAACAGAAGCATCTCCAAAACATTTTTCTAAACAACAGTTATATCATGCTGTGTCTCATTTATCTAGTGGACAAAACAGTTTTGGCACATGGGTGAATGAAATTTTTAGAGAAGTGTTCTACAAATGGACAAGCCTCAAGTCAGACAAAAACATTGATGAAGAAGACGATAGAACTTCCTCAAGGTGTAACACATTCAAATATAAAGTTAGGTCAACAACTACATC